TCTAGACATACTGTAAAAACAATGTGCCGGGCAGAATTATCAAACGAGTTTGGATTGCTTTGAATGTGTGTTTGGTAACATGGCCGTGCTTCGACACACTTCTCGCAGGAAAAGTAGGAAAATTGTGAACTGCCTGGTGGGATTTTACTGACATCAGCTCTTTTTCAGTGGGAGAAAGAAGTTTAAAAATATATTTTCAAACAAGGGGAATGCAATTCTAATGAGATTGGCATGAAGACTTCAGGACTTTTTAACTTCAGATAGGAAAAAGGTTCTGTTTGTTCTTTGAGGTTTCTGAAAACTTATTTCAGACTTTAGGTACAGGTGATGAAAGTAATCCTGGAGTGCAACAAAGGAACTAGGACAAAATCTCAGTTGCAAAGCAAACAAAAAAATCCTATCATACTGTAAAAATGGACAAAGAATAGGAAATCTGTGATGATTTGGGCTGTACCTTGAACAAGACTTGCAGTCAGAGCTCAGCCTTGCACTAAAACCCCTTTGTGAGCTGGCCCTGGGTTTTAGGGGGGTGTGTTTGTGTTGGTGGCCCCAGTGGTTGGCCCATGTGGACTCACTCCAGGCTTTCAACTCTGCACCTGGGTGCTGATGGAGCGACTGCAGCCGCGCTGGGCTGGGACCTGCAGCCCACAGCCCGCTCCGGGCAGCCTGCGCCTCTCGGACCCACGCACGTGGAGGCGGATCTTCACGTGGCAGCGAGTCTGTGCCTGCTTTTCCCTGCATGAAAAAAGGCTCAGGAACAGGCAACAGAAGCAAGAGTGCTAGTGTAGTGCTTAGCAGGGAGGGATACATCTAGGGAAAAGAGGTGAAACCAGAAGCTCTATCAGCTACATGGGCTGGTAATGGGCAAGTGGGTTCATCCTCCCACGGGAAGGGACCTGCCACCCTTCACGGGGAAGGTCCAATAAGAGAAAATCCTGAAGGGCATGAAATTGTCAGTCTGCCATGAAAATAGTGTTTGATGCACATTTTGTCTGTGAAATATTAATCTGCAGGCAGCGTTGTCCAGTTACAGAATATGACTTCTGTAGGTAAGCAGTAAGCACGGGGGAGCACAGTCGGAGCTCAGCTGCTGGAGCCGGTGAGGAGCCTTGCCAGATTTATCCCCGAGCAGCCAGCTCTGCTCTCTGATTTGCTGGGAACAGGATTACATTTTCCTTCTTGCGAACTCAAGGCTGGGGTTAATCTGGGTTTTGGCTTTGACTAATCCCTCCCGGCCAAATCCTGCCAGCTTTCCGGGGCTGTCCGAGGCGGCGGAGCAGCCTGTGCTTGCAAGGCAGTGTCTGTGCGGGGCAGGGGCGGCCGGCCGTGCCGGAAAGGGCAGCGCTGCCCTGCCCACCGGTTTGCAGCCTCACCAGTTCGAGCTGCCCACCGGTTTGCAGCCTCACCAGTTCGAGCTGCCCACCGGTTTGCAGCCTTGCTGGCGAGCCGCTGGGCCACTGCACGTACAGGCGGTTGCAGAGCTTTGCCTGCACTCGGTGCCGAGGCTCGGTAACACCTTGTGAGGTGGACTCTGGATAGGCACCTAAACTGATTATCTATTGATTGTTTTTTAATGGCTACTACTCTGGCTCAGATTTGAATCTCAGCGTAAATCCGCTGCAGCTCCATTGTGCCGAGAGGATTTCCCTGGAGGTAACTGGGAGAGAATCCTTCTTTCCATGGCCCAGGGATGGGTGCGAGCCTGCGGTTGCCCTCGCTGCCAGGCACACTGTGCGGGGTGGGCGCAGGACGCGTGCCCGGGCGATGCTGGGGTGCTGCAGCAGCTTGCGGGGGCAGAGGCGGTGTTGCTGCTTTGCCTGTCTGCCCTGGGCTCTCCCTTCGTGAGCCAGCGCTTTCATATTCACACTCTTTAAGAGTTTTTGGCCTCCGGTGTGTCCCGTGAGGGTTCCCAGCAGCGCTTCTGCCTTGTCTGTCAGTGGTTGAGTCCCACCTGCCGCGGGGCTGTGCCGGGGTCCTGTCACTGCTCTGACCCCCAGCAATGGGCAGCTCAAACCTGGCACACGCTGGACTTGTGCTTGTGAGAGGTTATGTGGCCACGCTATCCCAGGAGATGAGGCCTTAATCTTTTTCCCCTGTAAATTGACTCGTGTTTTGAAAATGCTGCGTGCCACATAGCATCTCTGGGCCGAGGACAAGGTTTTCCTGAGAAACACTGAATCTCTACATCTTGCCAGGCCACGTCCGTCACAGCGCCGTAAACGATGAGGAGAAGCTCTGCCACACAAAGCTTTTTCCCCCGGGAGCAGGGAGCATTTGGTAACAGTTGACATGACAGACAATGAAAGGGGGAAGCCTGATGGGAACAGGGGGCAAAGCGGTGAAGCGGCAGCAATTACTGACACGGCGTTGCCTGTGCCACAGTCCTTCGCTCGGCGGCTGGAGGTGGCGGGAGGACACGCAGCACGGCGGTGGTAAGGGGCCAGGGCACACCAGCTCCCTCCACTCCCCAGCCACAGAGAAAATGAATTTTACAGCTCAAGGGAGGATTAGTGCCTCATTAACTCAGGAAAGGGGAAGCCTTCACCAGACAAGGAGAGAGGAATCGAGTGTCGTGTGTGCTTTGAATGAGCGGGACCGGCTCTTTTGCAGGGGGTGCCTGCTAAAGGCAGAAAGAAAAAATAAGACGTATTTTGTTTTAAATTAAAAATGACTGGCATTCCCCCCCCCCTTCCTGAAAACAGAAAGTAATTTAATTTATTAGTGATTTATTTTATTTGACAGCCTTTCTATGTACTTGATGCGGTTTGTTACACCGAATTACCCTTTAATAATGGGTATATATAATACCGGAGCCTGCCCCGCAGGTTGGCTCTGTAATTGAAGAAGGGATTCACTGAGGAGGTCTCTGCGCTGTTGAGGATTGCCATAGCAATGCTGGTGGGAGCCGGGTGGTTTATGCAGACACTGGCTTGGACTCTGCGTGCTTCAGAAAAAAAAAAAAAAAAAAAGAGCAAGTTTCGGCCGCTGTGACGTTGCCCCGTTTGCTGGGCGCTTTCTCGTCACCCTCCCTGCCCGCTGCTGCCCTGAGCCGCTCCCTGCCTGCCCGGTGGGGCTCGGGACGCAGCACCCGGAGGCTGCGGAGCCTTCCCCCGGAGCACCCTTTTCTTTGGCTTTATTGTACCTGAAGCAGAGATGGAAGGCGGGTGTCTGCCGGCCGCTGGAAGGGGTCCCCAGGGCAGCGCGCGGGGCGGAAGGCTCGTCTCTGCCCATGACCCACGCGTTGGTGAGGACGAGTGTCCGTGCCGGCTTCGGGACAGATTTAAGCAAAGAAGGGATTAAACCCAGCCCGGGGCCCAGCCTGTGCTGGGCTGTTGCTCCCCTTGGCCGTCCTGAGACAGGGCTTGCCTCCCGCTGCAAGATTTCTGCTGTCGTGGGACGAGAGCCCCGAGCCGGTGTGTGCTCCCAGTGCACTCCTGGCTGCTCCTGCCTCAAAATGTCAGTGCTTGCAGGTTTAAATACTTACTGTTGATAACCTTAAGCAAAAGCTCACAGCACAGGGTGAGAAGGGACGTGAACACTTGCTCTTTTCTATATTCTAGTGCAGATTCTTGCCACCATGGCAGACAAAAAATCCTGCCTTAACAAAATACTCACGGATGACCAGATTTGTTCCTCTTGTGGGGTTTTACCTAGTGATGGACCAAGTTCCAGACATAAAAAAAACACCCCAGAATTCAGCTCTGAAGCAACATGGGGAGGATTTTCTTGGCTGAAGCGTTTATCTTAGCTCTGTGGTTGTGAGTAGCTGCCCTATAAGAATCGGGTGGGGAATCGCGCTGCAGATGGCCGCGCCGCCCTGGCTCAGACCTGGATTGCCCGGGTTGCTTTGCAGCATCGCGTGTGGTGCTGGGCTCCTCCCGGGGCTGGGGCTGGGCCGGGGGTTTCAGCACGAGGTGCGGTCGGGCCACAGAGCAGCCTCTCGCTGCGTGAAATCCCCCGCCGAAGCCTTTGCTGCACTTATTTTTGTGCCCGGCAAGGCCTGGTGTAACCACGGAACCCTCTCCCTTCGCACCACCGTCGCGTTCCCGGCAGGCAGAGTGACAGCCCCCGGTTCCCGCAGCCGCTGAGCAGAGCGCGAGGCCCCGGCCCCAGATGGCTGAGCAGAGTCCTTCCGCGGCAAGCGACGCATCGTTGGCTGCGTCAGGCTGAATTAGCAGGCAGGCTCGTCACATTAAGCTCAGGCCCTGAGCTGGCAGTCCCTGTGCTCTAGTGTCACTCGAGCTGGCTGTCACACTCCCGTCCCCACCTCTGCAGCCATGGGAAATCTCTTTGGGCAGCACACAGATAATATACACAGTAATGAAGTAGCTCGAGGGAACAGCTTACTGGCAAACGGGAGCACAGACTGACACCTTTCTAGTGTATTAAGTTGCCTTAAGAGCGTTATGTCTCAAGTTATTACTTGCACCACTCTTTACATACACCGTTCTTACCGCATCTCTCCGTCCCCTGATGTTTGCATGAGTTATACTTATTCATCTAAAGGCAAATGTGTGTGTCTCTGTTTCTAGTCCCTCCATCTGTCCCTGCCCTGTGTGTTCCCTTTCCCTGGCTCTTCTCATCTCTTACCTCTGTCACTTCACTGTGAAGCAAATGCAAAAATGTTAAAAGAAAAATCTGTGCTGACCTGGCTCTCTCAAAAAATATATCTCTGTTAGAAATGCTCTAGGAATTTCAGATTCTGGTTAACAGAGACAAAACAAGGCAGAGATCCGAGCCTGGTTTATTGGGCTTTCACTGCCTCACCGCAGTCTGACCGTACTGGTGCCTCTTTTCAGATGTAAAAGGCGTTTGTGTCTGCTTGTCCTTCTGTTCCTACACGTAGAAAGATGTTGGGTTTCCTTGGCGAGGGTGTGGAGGACGGGGTGGAGCGCTGCCAGCCGGAGCTGCACCGTGGCCATGGGGGTGCCCCGGGTGCCGGCGAGGGGGCAGGTGGGTCCCTGTCCCTGGGTGCTGATGCTCTGCTGCCCGTCCCGCAGGTCCCCGTGCTCCGGCCCATGGACCTGATGGTGGAGGCCACGCCCCGGCGGGTGTTTGCCAACGCGCACACCTACCACATCAACTCCATCTCCGTCAACAGCGACTACGAGACCTACATGTCGGCGGACGACCTGAGGATAAACTTGTGGAACTTTGAAATCACAAATCAAAGTTTTAGTATCCTTTGGTGTGTGCTGCCTTGCGGCCCTTGGGACAGTCCCAGCCCGGCCAAGAGCAGCAATAAGGGAGGTGGCTTGGCTGGCAAGCAGGGTGTGAAAGCCACGGGAGCCCAGACACGTGCGAATTTCAGTGAGAGAATGAGAGCTGGATGGGGGAGACAGGTCCCTGGTGAAAGGTGAGTGGTGGAGGGGGGACCTGCGGGGTCGGGCTCCGCGGATGGCAGCAGAGCCGCGCCCGTGCCTGCTGTGATGGTGACCGAGCAGGTCCCCCTGGGATGGGGGGGATGGCAGCGTCTCACCTGGCCCCATCCCTGCACCCCGGTTGCGGTTCCTCGGGACAGGAGCTTCACCCCGTGGCCAGGGCGCGCAGGGGCTCAGGAGCACAAAGCCGTGCTGTCCGCCCTGCATCTGGCTGCAGAACCTTGCAGAACCTGTCACGGCCGAGGCGTTTCCCCCTCGGCTCTGCCCTCGGCTTTGCCCGGCTGAGCCATGCCGCCGGCAGGTGCCAGGCTGTCTCCGGCGGGCACAGTCGCCGAGTCGCTCCTTCCCCGGCGCAGGGCTCAGCTGGCATCGTCGCGACTGCTGCCTCCCGGTGTGGGTGACACATTTCTGAATTTTGCCTGCAGGGTGTGCGTGGGGTGGGAGGGAGGGAGAGGGGGGCTGCGGGTGATGGAGAAGACAGACGCCTTGGGGAAGATGGAGAGAGGAAATATTAATCGTGCAGTCTCCATTATACCCTGCAGCAGGGTGACAGGCTGCCAGTCACAGTCGTACAAATGAGGTCGTGCCAGTCACCCTTGTAACAGCTGCATCAGAAATGATAACAATGGGGCACTAATCATCAGTGATATTTATATAGTCTTTCCTACTGAGAAATCCTCAGGGCATGTGGCAAATTTAGGCAGCTGGAGAGGATTTCAGCAGTCACAGGCGTGTGGCTAGTGGGAGCTCAAAGTGGGTGTGGTGTGTGGTGTGTTTCAGGGAAGAAAGTGAGGAGGACTAAATTTGGGTAAAACCTCAGGGAGTTTAGGTCACCTGAGGGAGTTTGGCCAGGGTGCAAGTGCAGCACCCAAAATACTCGCTAAGAATTGATGGAGAAACATCACCACCAGAGGGATGTCCATTCAGATGTCCCATCCCACCAGCTTGCCAGGCTGCCAGTGTCACCTCTCTGCCCGGCGCCTTGGAGCCCCTGCCCGGGTTGTCCCCAGTTTGGCTGAGCCACGGGACCAGCCCCACCGGGCTCTCCGGAGGGACCTGATGGGGCGGTGGGTGATGCTGGCACGGTGAGGAGGGGAGCCGAGGCAGCACCGCCCGCCTGCCCAGGGAGGTGAGGGGCACGTCACCACTTTTGTTGATAAAAACCAAATCTGGTCCCTGCCTGCCGGACAGTTGAGAAGAGGCGCCGTGCTCTGGAATTTCTTAGTTTTATGTGTGTCACCCGGCTGCTGCGCGGGTCGATGGGGTTTGAAGCCTCTGCTGAGCAAAGCATCGGGCTGTCGTGAGAGGTTCTTGCAGGATCGCCGCAGCGTCGCGGGCCGTGCAGCGGCACCGTGACACGGTGCAGCCCTGCACCGCTCCTCCTCGCAAGCTGCCCGCGCGCCTTGCGAACACCGAGGCGTCCAGGCGTGCGGCAGCTGGGGAGGGAGCGATCGCGGGCCGTGCGCTGGGTTCAGGTCTGGCCTGAACTGGGGTCCGGGTTCTGCTGCAGATCCGGAGCACAGCTGGGCTGTGAATCGGCTCAGTGGCTCTGAGCTTCTTCTGCGGGAGCGCTTGCTGTTGTAAAACACCCCACGTGGGTAAGAAATTTATATAGTCGTTGTCTTCTTTATTTTTTTTTTAATCCCCCGTCTTTCCAGGAACAGCAGGATCTTAATTTGCTTTCCAGGGGGTGAGGAGAGGTGCTGTTTCTTATTCCCCCCTCTGCCCAGTGAGTAAATCATCCCATGCTGGGTATCTGGATTGCACTGTAAGATCTGAAGCCGCTTCCACCAGTGACCCCTGGCTTGGCATCAGGCCGGGATGGACGCTTGTCAGCCGTCCCCTGCGCACCGGGATGCTCTGTGGGGCTGTGCAGGTCCTTGCCAGCACCATCTGCGGGGCCTGGGGACAGGGTCTGCAGCTCGCTTTTCAACCCAGCATTTCACCGAGCCCAAGCATGTGAAATGTTTCGGAAATTGCACGTCCTTGGGCAGCCGCCTGCAGTGGTTTTGTGTTGGTCTCCACGCTCTGGGTTTTCTTTGCCCCTGGTTGTGTTCTGGAGCAGTTGCTCCTTGTGCCCCAACGCTGCAATAAAAGACATTTGCTCTGGCCCGGGGTGGGCGGGCAGTTGGGTCTCGTGCTGTGCAGAGGGGTTCGGTGGTACTGGTGTGGCGGTGCGTGGCTGAGCACAAAACGTGACGGACGCTGGTCTTCCCCCGCGCCTGGAACACTCTCCCGCCAGCGGCTGGGCAGCCCGGGGCTGGGGGGAGCCCAGGTGCCCGTCTGGCAGCAGCAGGGGCGGCGGGGGGAGAGCCCCCGGGAGGAGCGGGGTCTGGGCCGGGCGCCGTGGGGCTCCTTGACTCGCCCTGCCAGACATCGTGGACATCAAGCCAGCCAACATGGAGGAGCTGACGGAGGTGATCACGGCCGCCGAGTTCCACCCGCACCATTGCAACACCTTCGTCTACAGCAGCAGCAAAGGCACCATCCGGCTGTGCGACATGCGCACCTCCGCCCTCTGCGACCGCCACGCCAAGTGTGAGTACAGCCCCGCCAGCGGCACGGCCCGCACGGGCTCCGCTTTGGGTTAGAGGAGCCCAAAAAAGGGAGCGCGGAGACCGGCCTGGGCGCGGGGCTGCCCTGCCACCTCGCCCCGTCCTCTCTCCGGACTGTGCTCCTGCGCGGTCCCATGGCCACCTGCCCTCGGTCCTGCCTGTCCCCAAAAGGAGCAGCTTCCCCTGGCTCCCCGCCCCGCGCCCGTTGGGGGACCGTGTCAAAAACCCCCAAATGTGGTGTTTTGCCCGCAGCGAGTCTGAGGGGTCGCTGGGCTGTTGGTGCTGTCAATGCCAGAAGACAGCGCTGTGTTGTTTCTTGAGGCTGTTTGTCCAAATAGCCCCATGTCCTGTTGTCAGCTGTGGTAGATGCCGCAGGGGTCAGGATGTGCAGAAGAGCCCCCTCAAAATCTGGAGTAAGCTGGGCAGCTCGGGAGCTTGTCCTTGGTCCTCCCTGGGCTGCTGTGGTCAGTGAGCTGCCGCTGAGGCAGCCAGCTGAGCTCGGCTCCTGCTCAGCCTGTACGTGTCAGGAGGTCGTGACTGGAAATATTGTCCTTATCAGCAACTGCTCAGGAAGATATCAGCAGGAACACCTATGACACTTACGGGTGGGCCCGTAAATACCTGTTGCTGTTCTTTGTGCCCTTGCAGTCCTGGCAGGAACCTCAATGCTGAGCGCAGGGTTGTAAATAAGACAAAAGATGGGACAGACCTAAAGGAGTTTGGTATCTGCCTGAAAGACAGCAAAATATTGCAGAAACAAGGGCAGCTGTGCTGTGTGACTGGACAGCTAAACCCCTCTGTCTCCTGTTCTTCTTTGAGTTTTCTTCAGAAAATGTCCGATACCTTGTAGGAAATTAAGGAGATTTTTCAGTATTCGAAGTGTGATCACGTTATGAGAACAAGTTGCCCAAGGTGGGTGCAGCTTACTGGAGCCCTGTGCTAATAATTGTCACCCAGAGAGAGCCGGGCTGTGCTCCAGACTGGGGGGCGATAGGGAATGACACAGCAGCCATCGCTGCTGCGCTTGGAGCTGCGGGCACAGTCTGATACCTGTTTTTAACCTGGAGTAAAGTGGATGGAGAAGAAAGCTTACTGCGCTGGCTGGAGATGGGGAAATACTGAATGGCAGTTTTCCCAAATCCCAGGCAAAACACACCTTTCTGTTCTTGCATTTCCTGACTGTGTCTGGCAGTCCTACAGCGACAGCTCCCAGCTGATATTCAGAATTAAGGAGCAAACAGAATTCATTTTCCTGACACTTCGGTGGCAGAAGCCCCACCCCGAGCACGTCCCTTTGTTTGGGCACTGCTGCCCAAATCCCCCCCAGCCCTCGGCGGGCGCACCGGCCAGCGGTGAATCCGGCTCGGTGTGACCTTGCCCGTGACATTGCCTTATTGATTTCTCGCTGTCCCGCCGAAGCACCAGCCTCAGTCAATTGTGGTTCAGCAGATGTGGGAGTCGAAATTGAGACAGTTCATCAAAGTTCAAAATGAAAAGCAACATTGGCTTTCGGAGGCGAATCTTCCAACGGAGACATTTAATAACTGTCAATATTTAATAAAAATGCAGAAGATAGCACTGCACATGCCAGTCATGTTTATTTAGGTAGATGCAGTTTGCTGCTCAGGGCTGACTTTTACTTATGTGCTTCTCTTATTAAGTTCTGTTTGCACATTTTATTTGAGGCTCCTGCGGCCTGTGACGTTGTGCACGTTTCCTCCGGCCGCGGAGCTGGACAGACCGTCGGGTTTCCTGGAGCAGACCTGCCGGCCACGCGGGGACGTGGAGCCGTGGGCTGCGGTCCCGGGAGGGGGGACCTGCCCGGGCACACGGGGCGAAGGAACGGCGTGCAGGGCCGAGGCACCACGGGAGCCAAGGGGCAGAGCGGGTTTCCTGGAGCAGCTGGTAACACCGGCAAAAGTAATCCTGTTTGAAAAGCAGATGGGAAAGCGAGGAAAAACCCTGTTGGGGGGCTACACAGTTATTTCCCCATAGCAAAAGGCGTTGGGCTTTCCACTTTTTTTTTAAGGAGCCACCTGTGACTGTACCTACCAAACTCCTGAAACAAAAGGCACGAAGTCCAGCCTGCTTCCCAAAGGGGCACTTTGCCCTCTTGTCTTTCCACTGCTGACTGCGTTACAGCAACACTACCAACTGTTTATTCTGTGCTGAAGACAGTTTCAGTTTCAGTTAGAAGTAAGAAGCACACAAAGCTGCTTTGATAAGGTAACTGGCGGCTGACAGATTTTACCCCCTGCTACCGCACATGTATTTCTAACCCAAGCCCCCCCGCTCCTGGGGTGCTGCCGGCTGCAGGAGCCCCAGTGAGGAACCCCCAGCCCGGCGCTGCCCCACTGCTGCTTCCCAGGCCTGTGGAGAAAGGGCCACCGGCGCTGGGGAGTGGGATCACGCCGGGGCTGTGCAGCCCTTCCCGGCCAGCTCGGGGTTTATTTTGGGGTGCATCCCCACAGCCGGGGTGCTGGGGAAGGAGGGCTGGCAGAGGGAGCCGGCGCGGGGAGGGCAGCTCCTGCTCGCTGTCAGAGGAAAATAGGGTTGTTGTGTAACAGAGAATTAGTGCTCAGAAATCCTTTCCGTGAGCTCTGCCGCTGCAACCGGAGCAAAGCCACACAAAAGCCTTCAGCCGGGAAGCAAAAATAGCCGTTGTGAGCCCCTGCCCTGCCCAGCCCCGTGCTTTGGCTCTCAGGCCCGCTGCTCTGCGCTGCCGGGGACGGGCTGGCACTGCCTGTGGGGGGGGCCCCCCATCCTGGCAGAGCCCCCGCTGCTCCCACTGCCGGGACTGGGGAGGGTCCCGGCATCCCACGGAGGAGCGGGCGGCTGTGGCCCTGCTGCCCGGTGGCGTGGGGACGGTGCTGGCAGGGTCTGGGGGCAGCGGGGTCCAATCACCCCCCCGACAGCAGCTTCCCCCCCCCCCTCCTGGTCCTGCCTCGGGGCTGCCGGGGCCTGCGGTGCTGCGCAGAGCATGCTGCCAAAAGAGCTCTGTTAATCTGTACCTCATCTGCGAGGAAGAGGAGCGCGTTTTGTTGCTCACTGCAGATAGGAAGAAGGAGGCAGGAGAGCAAATCACTCAAGTTCATGGGGGAAATTGTCACCAGATGAGTAATTTCTGCTCCGTAGCCCGTGGTTGCAAGGCTCCTGCACCTCTGGGCTGAGAGTGGATTGCAGAGTTGATTCTTCCAATATGAGAGCAAAGCTCAGTTCTCTGCTTGTGCTAGCTTAGCTTTTCCTTAGTGGTTAATTTTGTGATTAGGTGAACTATCAGTGGAGTTTTGACTTTTTCTTTGAAGCAAGAGAAGAAGCAGAGGGTTACTGTATTTGCCCATGCAAGCGCTGCTCCACCATGCTTCCAGGTGTCCACGGGGGCCCTAATTATTACCAGATTAACCTCAGCTGAAATCCAGAGGGGTCAGATGCCTTGCCCGGGATTTACATGCTAAGTGGCTCCATCGCTTTCAGTGCACAGGCCAGACGGGCCACCTTGCACACAGGAGCGGCATGCAGCCCCCGGGCCAGCGTCCCCCCTCGCTCCCAGACCCATGGGTGCTGACCCAGGGTGGGAGTGTGTGTGTGTGTGGGAGTATATGAGGGACCCCACGGCGCGGGCAGCAGCATGCAGGAGGCAGCACACGAGAGCCAGAGCCCAGCAGAGCCGGCGACGTGCCTGCCGCTGTCAGAGGTTTGTCTCGTACAGGTTAATATGGACCCGTGCTGAAACAGCCACCAGTAACACCCACAGCGTGCTCGCTGGTGGCCAGTCCCAGGAACACCCCAAAAGCTCAGCAGGGAATAACTACCGTGTAGGACTCAGCAGCTCAAGCAGAGCTTGGATTGATTGATCCAAAGTCCCTTTATCTGAGAAGCTGCTAATGCAGCTCATTGGTGCAACCTGAAACTCAAGATGCACTGAGGAGGAGGAGGAGGAGGAGGAGGAGAGGGCAGCTGGGCTTTGCTAGCTGTGTCTTTCCAAAGAGAGGAGAGTACGGGGGTAAAATGGCCAAATCTGGACTAAACTAACTTCTCCGACCTCGGCGTGTGTGCGGGGAGATGCTCCCAGCGCCGCTGTTGCCTGCGGCGGGGCGGAGGGCTCCCCAGCACCCACCTGCCCTGGCCTGGGACGCCCACGTCCCGCCGGGTGACGGTCTGGCCTTGCTGGGGGTGGCCCCGCTGCTTGTTCCGCGGGTGTTTGCTGAACACCCGGAGAGGCTTGGCGATCACCGCCAGCTCAGAGGAGAGCCCCGAGCCGCGCGTCCGGGGCTGCCGCTGGCACGGGCAGGGACGGAACGACAGCCTGCCAACTCTGCGAGGCCGACCCAGCCTCCAGCAGAACACATTTGCTCCCACGTTCCTGCTAACAGCGTGTTCTCTTTACCTATTTTCTCAGCTAAGACTTTTATAGACAAAAAAAAGGTTATCTAAGTAGAGCACAGAGATCTGATTCCCTGTTTGTGTAGACAAAACCAGTGCTGCATGGCACTGGGCGTCTGCAGGGCGAGCTGAGCTCTCCTTGTCCCAGGTTTTGGCTGGGGCAGAGTAGAGCTGGTTGTGTTGCCCCCAGAAACTAATGATCTCTTTCCTCCAGACCCCTCGCAGGAGCTAACAGAGTCCTGCTGCATGGAATAACAGGCCTGGCAAGACCTCAAGCTAAGAATTAACTAGTTGGTTGTGCAAAATCTCCAGGGAGGTGAAAAACAAGCCTCTTGTTCCACCCCGAGCTCATTTAGCAAAGCGGGAAACCTTTTTGCCTTTGCAACACTCTCCTGTCTTCATCTGAAATCAAAACTTCCACCTGGTGAATCATTTGTTGCCGACAGGGCGTGATTGGGTCTGAGCCGAGAGGGGACACAGCCCAGGGAGTGACCCGAGTGACAGCCACGGCCCCAGCCTGGGCTTGGTGACTGTGCAGGGCAGCTTTGGTGTGCTTTCGGGTTTTCCAGTCTGTGTTGCTAATTGTCGTGATTGGAGCTTAAATGAGGAGTGAGAAAGAAAAGACAGTAGTTGAATTGGTGTTAAATTTAGCGATAAGCGGATAAATTTCTTGATGGGTGAAAAAAATCCCATTTGCTTTGAAGCTGCCCTGAGAGAGGGTCCCTCTGGCCGAGGGGGGCTCCCGGGCAGCGCGTGGGCAGAGGCAGCAGCTCGGGGAAGTCGGCTCCAGAAGCGTTGGTTGAACAGTTGCTCTCTGCGTTGGTAGGTCTGGTTTTGCTTCCCAGCATCAGAGCCCCCAGTACAGTAGGCAAAAGGAGGCTGGTGCAGGGAGGATGGAGGTAACCCATGCCAGGCTTCACCTCTTAGCTGCTCTGATTTTTGGAAGGTCGGCAGCTCCTCTGCGCTGGCCTGCGTGGTGCACGGCTGGATCCCGCCCCGGGCTCACTGCACGGCTGGATCCTGCCTTCTCACCCTGCGCACAAGCTCCTCGGCACAGAGGTGCTGCCCGGGCCCCCCCTGCTCTCTCTGGGCATTGCTGCGGCCCATGCTCCTCTGGAGCGCCAGCTCCCCCGCAGGGACAGACGGACAGACGGATGGGACGCGGGGGCCGGGACCCGCCGGAGGAGCCGGGCAGCTGTGGGGGAACACTCCCGGCAGCCGTGCCGGGGGTGTGGAACCTGGCATCAGCATCCTTCCACCCTCTTCGTGCTGCTGACGTCTCACCCTTGCTGGCTTGTCTCAGCTCTTGGGATCATTCTCTGAGCCCTTTCCTATTTGGTAGCTGATCTGCAGTTTAACAGCTTACGCTTCTGCACTACCGGCAACAACTTCCTCTTGCCCCGTACCATAACCTGACCACCTCCAGCCCTGACACAACCTCACAAGTGCGCATCGGGGATGGAAACTGTGCAGCCATTAAAACAAACCTCGCGAAGCCAGACGACCCGGTGTGAGCAAGCCTGTGAAGATGCGAAGACAAGCCGTGGCTTTCAGATGCTCTCCACAGACTGCCTCAGATCTTTATTTTCTCTCGTTGCTGTTGCTTTTCTGATTTAAAAAACCTGACATGTCATCAGACTTGCTGCTGGTGATTAAAGGACCCAGAGCCGGGCCCTGCTGTGGGCGATGCCATCTCTAATTTGTAGAGAGATCATTCATACTGGCGCTTCAGGCGTTTTTTTCTGCCATACTGGGGAGCTCAGGCGTTAGTACCCCGGGCCTCAGCGAGGGGATGATAAAGCTGAGCAAACGCCGGTGCCCAGCCCGGCTCTGGCACGTCCCCAGCCCTGGCCACCGGCCGGTCGGAGCCCGCGGCCGCCGTGGCGGAGCGTCAGTGCTGGGGACAAGGGCCGGATGAACACGGCTGGCAACTGGATTTTTCCCCAGTAGAGAAGCAAAGCGGCGTGAGCATCTCCACGTTACCCAGCGGCATCCTTGAACGCTGCTCTGGAGAGCTGCCCGTGGCGGGGGGAAGAGGAGGCTGGACAGACGTCCCGCATCGGCAGCGGCTCTCTTGATGCAGCTCTGTGATGGATTTTTAAAGCCACACTTGCCCGGCTGATGTTACTTTGAAATCAGTATTTGTAAATACATTTAATTTGGAACTTAAAATCGGTCTCCTTCAAACTGTTCATACTGTGATTTATTCAAAGACTGATCAGATTAAATCTGTAGGTTGCAGTGGCTATAAAATATTTACATTGACTTTCAGTTATGCTGCACATTGATTTCTAGGGAGCAGCGCTGACATGCAAGGCTCTAAATCTTCTGGGCTTCTGCGGTGCTGTTGATAGATTGGTCTCCAATGACCCTTCCTGCTTATTGCACGCATTAAAAACAAAGGAGCTTCAGTTGTGCCAAGTCAAGTCCTTAAAATGTGGGCGTTTGTCCGGTCTAGGCCAAACCCGGCAGCGGGGGGGTGTTCTCCCAGCCCGCTGTGGGGTGTCCCGCGGGGACGTGGGTGCCTCTGCTCGCCCGAGTGGGGCCGGAGGGTGTCGGGCACTGGCGGGGGCTGCCCGGGCACCGGCTCGGGGCCGTCTGTCGGTCTCCGCAGCCAAACCGGAGTGTTCCTCCCCCTGCGGCAGCGTGGGTCCCCTCTGCTCCCCTCCCAGGAGCATCAGCCCTGCGGTGCCGGGGCAGGGCGGCAGGTCCCTGCGCTGGGGACAGGCGGCTCCTGCCTCGGCTGATGCCGGGGCTTGTCCTTTCCTCTTCCACAGTTTTTGAAGAGCCCGAAGACCCAAGTAACCGGTCGTTTTTTTCCGAGATCATCTCCTCGATCTCTGATGTCAAATTCAGCCACAGTGGGAGGTATATCATGACCCGGGACTATCTCACCGTCAAGGTGTGGGACCTGAACATGGAGAACCGGCCCATTGAGACCTACCAGGTGAGTGTGGGCACCCACAGTGCTGCCGCCCCGGCCGCGCTCCCGGGCCGGCAGCGGCGGGGACAGGTACGAGCCCGATGGCTGGGAGCACTGTGCCATTCAGTCATGGAACGCAGATGAAGAACTGTTACACGTGGGCTCGAGTGGCCGGGTGAATTGTAACACCCCCCCCCCCCGCCTCCATCGCCAGGCTGGGCGTAGGTGAGGAGGGGAAGCTCCGGTGCCGGTGGCCGGGAGGCGAGTGCTGGGGCAGAGCAGTGGGCTGTGCCACCCGTGGCCGGGGGCCGTGCCCCCCAGCGCTGCCCGGCTCGGCTGCGGAGAGCACGGGGCTGGCGTTTGCGGGGCACGGGGCTGTGCCCGCCGCGGTGCGGGGGCATCACCCCACGTCCCCCCCCCTCCCCTCCCTCCCGGCAGGTTCACGACTACCTGCGGAGCAAGCTCTGCTCGCTCTACGAGAACGACTGCATCTTCGACAAGTTCGAGTGCGTCTGGAACGGGTCCGACAGGTGAGCGCTGGGCCAGCCCCGGGGGCACCTCAGGCACCTCCGCTGGGCGCCTGGGCTGGTGTTTTCCATCACCTAAACCCACAGCCCCGCACCCAAGCGCTGCTGAGGGTGTCTGATGGGGTCCCGGCTCTCCTGGATGGGTTCAGTCCCTGTCCCCCTTTCTCCGAACACCGGCGGGAGGGTGGTAATGCGTTTGGCTCCAGATTGCCAAAATCTGGGTGTGACAACCATCCATGCATAAACCACGTCGAACCAGGTGTCAGAAAGCGTGCGAGGTCAGTTGACCTGGTGGGATTGGTGCATTTTTCACTCTGAGCCATCAGAGCGAGTTAACGAGGCACAGCTGGGCCTGAAGCCCAAATTCCACATCTAATCTCATTATGCCGCTGGATATTCAGTCTCCCTCTAGTCACGAGGCAGTTTGCCTCTAAAACGGTGTGAAAATCATGCGGTTCAGGCCAGCTAAAATCTTTGCTGTACAGCCTGGTCTCCGTCCGCGTTGTTGCCCGGAGAGGAGCTGCCTCCCCGTGCCGGCTCCCTGGGTTCAGGAGGACGCGGGCCGTGGCTGCCCGCAGCCTCCCGGCGCAGGACGGGGTGCGGGGTGCCCGGCTGCGCCCCTCGCCCCGTGGGTCCGCGCGCCGTGACCCGCCCTTCCTCCCTCCTCCCAGCGTCATCATGACGGGCTCCTACAACAACTTCTTCCGCATGTTTGACCGCAACACCAAGCGCGACGTGACGCTGGAGGCCTCGCGGGAGAACAGCAAACCCCGCGCCATCCTCAAGCCCCGCAAGGTCTGCGTGGGCGGCAAGCGGAGGAAAGACGAAATTAGTGTGGACAGTCTGGACTTTAGCAAAAAGATCCTGCATACAGCTTGGCACCCCTCCGAGAATATCATTGCCGTGGCAGCAACAAATAACCTGTATATATTCCAGGACAAGGTTAACTAGGAGGACAAGTTGTTCTTTAGGAATCTCATGTACTGAATACTAGTAAACACAAGATTTCAAATGTTTCTTTTCTTTCTTTCTTTCGTTTTCCCTTTTCCTTCCTGTTCCTTTGTTCGGTTACTGCTCTGCAGACAGCGGTTGTGCCGAGGCGAGCGCTCCTGCACCCCCGGGGCACTGGGGGGGGGACCCCAGCCAGACACCCGCTTTCTGTTCCTTTACGCGTTGAGAGCTGAGGCGCGCGGGGCGGCTGCAGCCGCGGCGGGGAGGGGACGCGGGGGCCGGGGCCCTCGGGGGTTCCGCTGCCAGCAGACCCGCGCCGGTTGTTTTAAACCCGATCCTAGACATAGTCCGCCTGTTACGTTGCCAGGTCAGAACGTTGTCCCCCCCCACCCCCGTTGCCATTTTTCGCATTTGTCTTTTTATTATTATCATTTTGTGTTTTTACCAACAGAGACAGCAAAACCAAACATAAAATGGGAAAGTTCAGATTTGCAAAGGACAAGCTTAAAGGGGGGGGATCTGCTGCACACTGAGACGTGTCTGCTCTAGCCAGGCTGCTGCCTTCCCCCCACCCCACAGAAACTCTCCTGAGGATTTGGCTTTGTAGATACTGTGGTGCCTTTTTTGGTATATGAAATACCTTTATAAATGATGCTTCCGAACTGCATTGATTGCAAACCAAATTGAAACCTGGGCTTCTCTCCTGCATTTCTTGTCTTTTGCTTTGGTCATTTTTACTTGTTCTGTTGTAAGTTCTTGCACGCTGTGACTGTCTCTCTCTCTCTCTCTCTTTCTTTTTAAATTAATTTATTTATTTATTCATTCGATTTTTTTTTAAGATAAAGTATAAGTTGCTAATTTATGACCTTCTAAAAAAGAACCCAACCATATATTGCTGTTAGCACCTGACTGCTTCAGAGAGAGGCTGTCTGTGGTCCTACATTAATAACAATAATAATGATAATAATAATAAAAACAATAACTCTTCCTCTTTGCATGGCAAGGCTGCCTCTTTCTACTCTAAAGATTGTTCAGGTCCCTCTTTTACCTGAGCAACTGTTCAATAAAAAAAAAAAAAACTACTGAATTTTCAGTCCATCTGAAAAATTTTCCTGCAACAAAAAGCAAACGAATAAATAAAGGCAATTAAAAACCTATTCAACACTGTCACTTTAGCAGTGGCTGGGTGCGGGTGCCCGTGCTGTGCAGCTGTTCTGCGGGGGGGCAGCGGGGACCCCGCCAGCGCCCGCAGCCTGCCGGGGCCGCTCGCCCCACGCTGAGGGCAGAGTCCCCCCGGCTGCCCCGCGAGGGGTCCGGCGTGTCCCGCGGGGCCCCCCCGGCTCTCGCTCCCGCCAGCGGCCACGAACGGAGCACCCGGACCGGGCGGGAAAGCGGGAGCTGTGCGGCGGCGGGACCCCGGCTGCGCCCCGGCCCCTGGGACGGAGCCTCGGGGCGCTGACCTGCCGGGACACCCCGGCCCCGCCTCGGGGGCAGCAGCAGGGAGAGCCCCCCCACCTCCAGAGGAGAGATCGCAAGGTAAAAAACAAAGTGCACTGGCTTATAAATTTATTACAAGTGATGGCTTTCAGGAGTGACCTTTTTTTTTTTTTTTTAAATGAAATGGTAAAAAAAAAAAGAGCAAGAGTAAATGAACCATTTTTTTAAAAAAAAAATTGTTCCTTTTTGGTTCCTGTAAAGAAAGCCTGCACTCTGGTATCAAAAGTAAAGTTGTCCCAAATGTGTCTTTGTGTGGCGTTGCTGCTTGCTGTGCCTCTCGCGTGCTGGGTGACGGTACCTCTGGGGCACCCAGACGGTGTCTGAGGAAGGTCCTTGGTCAGAGCTTGGCTGCCGAGGGACGGCTGCGGGGTCCCGGGGGGCCCAGGGGTTCTGTGTCCCTGCTGAGGGCACAGGACATCAGGGCCGTGGGTGGTCTGGAGACGTGGGTGGGAATGCAGCTTCCACCCGTGCCGTGGGGACGATCAGTCCTTGGGTGCGGGGGGCCATGGTGGGGCTGAGCAAATGTCCAGCTGGTCCCCATCCGCCCCCGGCAGCGTTGGGGGGGGTGGGGGAACACCAGGGGTGCATCAAGTGGAACGTCCCCTCCTTGTCCAGTGGTTCAAGGACTTGTGGAAGGCAGGTGTCCCCGTGGCTTTGTCACCCGTGGCCCTGTCCCACTCGGGACCCATTATGTGCATGGGTGGGGAGGGTTAGTGCTGCTGGCGCAGGGCCGGGCATGACGAGGGCTGCAGAGCCAGGGAGCTCGCAGCCGTGCCGGAGCGCCCATCACCAGCCTCAGCCAGGAGGAACAGCTACTTTTGGAACCCACACTGTCCAGCAGCGTCCTTCACCGCCCTTACCTCCCCAGAAACCGCATCGACGAACCTCAGGGGCTCGGCCCTAGGGAGGGGTGTTCGGCGCTGCACCCCTCCGTCGCAGGTGGTGCCCGTTCCCTGCGCTGCAGCCACGCACGCAGAGCCCAGCGGCCGGTGGCCTTTCCCACCAGGGGAAAGTGCCGGTTGCCTCATTCCTGCACACCCGCCATGCTACCCCGGGGCAGAGCGTGGTGGCTCCTGGAGATGCCGGGATGGAGCCAGGGAGCGGGGCGGGGGACCGCGGCTGGTGCCCGTGCCGGGGAGGCATCACCTCCCTTTCCGTACCCTGGCTAAGTGCAAGGGGTGGGGGGGCAGGCGTGGGGTGTTTCTTGCTTTTCAAACAGTCCCTTCTGGCCTTTTGCAGCTTGCGGCAGCAAGGCGGAACCAACGGGGACCTTGAGGGGCACTGAGGAGGGGAGATGCCTGTAACCAGGCTGGGAACCGGTAAAATTCAGCAGGGAGCCCCACAGTGAAGCAGTCACCCGGCACGGTACTTCGGCAGGTGTTCACGTGCAGAAAGCTGCCCAGCTGCAGACCCGAACGCTTCCTGCAGCCGCAGAGGGGGGGTGTGCGGGCCCTAAGGGCTGCTGCACGGAGGGGCAGTGTGGGCGCTGGCTGGCGCCGTGTGCGGGATGCTGCCCGGGGCAGGCGGTGTCTGAGGGGCCGGCTGACAGCCCGCAATCCATGTCCTGCTCACTCGTGCAAGGAGCAACATTATCACATCCCAGATACTAGCCCTGCAGTCCAGCCTCAGCACTAAATATCTCCAATAACAGGGCAGTGTGGAGTGACAAGGGCTGTTTTTCTTACCCTGCAGCCTGGCCTCTGGAAAATGGAGCTGCCGGACCCTCCTGCCCGGTGACGGTGCCTGGGGAGCGGGTCGGTCCCCGTTGAAACTCCACGTGGCATCAGGCGCCGGCGAGGCAGGAGCTGAGCACTTCCCTTTATCCAGGGGCTTTCTGCCACAAGCTGGAGCCACCGGCTAACGGGAGCTGGACTCAGCCTTCGCGTGACGTTTGCGGGAAAGGCTCGCGGGTGGTGGCGTGGGGACAGTCATGTCCGTGAATGGGCTGCCCTGAGCGGGCTGGTGAGCCCTCACCCTCAGCAGTCGGATCAAACACTGTAGCTCACAGAAACCAAACACACCTTTAGCTCCACACACAGGCTTCACAGTTAGTATACATATGTATTTACTGATTCCAGCCTCAAGCAGCATTTTAGCTGAAGCTGACAGGTCAGGGGTGCAAGGTGGGGGCTGAGCTCTTCTCCCTGTCCCGGCCAGGGCCTGGGTGAGAGGCTGAGGGTCACTGACAGCATCGTGGTGGCTGCAGGGCTCGTTGCCCCGCTGGCTCCACCCAGACACTGACAGCCAAGTCTCTCCTCTGTGATGGTGGGCAGCCTCTGGGTGAACGCGGCGGGGGAGCCGGGGTGGCCGTGGGGCTGGTGGGGCTCCTCGCTCCCCCCACCGTGGTGCTGAGCGGTGCCCGGACCCCGCACCGACGGCCCCGACCCCTCACACCGACCGAGGCCGGGGCCCACCCTCCCCTGACTGGCCCAGGGCACAGCGGGGCCTGCAGTGCTTTTCAAGAAGCACTGGATTTATTTTTATTCTTAAATCAGTGCCAATAGCTGAGCTGGCTTTACAATAAACCTAAAGCAGGATCTGATGCGGAGCAGCTGGCCCGGGCGAGCCGCAGGGTAGCGGTTATCACCTGGTGCCAGCAAAGGTGTGAGGTGCTGTGCGTGGCACCGTGCAAGCACGGGCACGGCCCCGGCGGGTGGGAAGGGGCACCCGGGGCGGGCTGTTGGTGAGAGGGAATTGCTGGAAGTGTCCAACAGCTCTCCTCGTTCAGCAGGACAAATCTCATTATTCGGTAAAGCGTTAAAACAAACTGTCGGTTCCTCTGCAGCGCGTGCGTTGATTCTCTGCTGTTCTCAGCGATGAATTTAAACAGCGGCACCTAATTAGAAGCTGCAGGGCATGGATTATACTGTCAAGGAAGTGTTATTCAGACACTCATTTACCTTCACATTAACCGTGTGACCTTAATCTAATAACCCTTGCACGGACTCGAGCCCTGGATTATTCCTCGGTGAGCGGTGCACGTCCAAGCGGGGCAGCCGTGACCGTTCCAACCAGGATCCTGGCATTTAAACCCTGGGACTGACCCCCCCGGCCGGTGACTGACCACAGCTCCTTACCCCAGAAATGAGCCCAGCTTTTCAAAATTTGAGTCTCTTCCCCTTTCCTAAACTCACTTGTATTTAACTCTGCCCTGCCGGCCCCTTGCGAGCCCTCAGCCACAGCAGCAGCCCAACAGCAGGGCCAGGCCGCGGGAGCTGCCGGGCTGCAACAGGGAAGGTGCTAAAAAATTTGTCAGCCCCACTCCTCCCCACCTCGTCTCCGGAGGAGGATCCCACACTGTCCCTGCTGCTGGGGGCTCAGGGCACCGTGGCCGAGGTGCTGCAGGGGCAGGGGAGCAGCCCCGCGACGTCGTGCACCACCAGCACCGGCTGCAGCTGCACCAGCAGCACCCCCCGACCGGGGACCAGCACGTTAGGCCTAATTGTTTTATCTGCAGAATAAGCAGATAAATAAATGTTAATGAGCATCTGGTCTCCATAAACAAGATAAATTAAAATTAATAGCAATCTTACTCGTTTAATGAACAAGTTAACCGTATTTTAAAACAGCCATAAAAAATGGATGGCTTCCTGCAGGGCTGTGCTAAGCTGAGAGAAACGAAATTAATTTTCTGGCAGAGTGGGGCTACGTCATGCTCCCACGGTGAGCCGGGCGCTGCCACCGCTGCCCCACTGCGCGCACCTTCCGTGTCCCCGAGGCCCCGTGAGGGGACACCAGGGTCCCTCAGTGGCTGGGGGGACGGCCACGGGACCCCCCAATGCCCCGGGGGTTCAGAGGGAGCAGGGGGATGGGTGGCTGTGGGGTCCCCAATTCCCCGGGGGTTCAGAGGTGCCCGCTCGCATCGCCGCTGCCTGCTGGGCTCATCCGACCCCGCGCTGCCACAACCTTCCCCTGCTGCGGCTTAGTCGACCCCGAGTTTGTTCATAAAAATCAGGATTTTTAAGAAATTTAAAATTAAGCCACACTGCTGCAGGGATCTGGCTGGTGGCGGGGGAGCCCCAGCAGAGTGTGGACCCCCCCCGGCAGCGTGCAGTCGGGGTGCGGGTGGCACTTTCCAGGTGGGAACTAGAGGTCACGCAGGGTCCTGACCCCAGTGGCAGCCCAGGTGGGCAGGGGCGCGGGGAGGGACCCGCGCTCTCAGTTCAGGTAGTACGTTCCTACTGCACACACCACGTCTCAGATGTCAGCAGTACAAATCCCTCCGAAGCTGCCTAAATTTTGCTTTGTCAGCAACCTTCTGCGCTGGCGCTCACGCCGCAAGTCCCGACCGCTGGCCACCAGAACAGTAATTGCTGGGGAAGAGAGGAAAAAAAAAAAAAAAAAAAAAAAAAAAATCATCAATTTCTCATGGAAGAATCAACCCTTCCTCACCGCTCAAATAAGGAGATCCACATCAAATACAGAAGAAAGAGAAGGGAATACTCTGACACTGCCACCCCCACCATCTCATATTTAAGCAAAAGACTAAAGAACTAAACTAGAAAATAATAGTGCTTGGCACCGCATCGCACGGATGCTGACCTGAATGGTGCTGCTGCAGCTTAGTCCGATGTTGCACAGGGCCACAGGTTCTGTTCTGCCAAACACAGCCACAAATTTAGGTAGTATGACTTCAGCTGGTTGCTTTACTCATAAATTCACAAGTCCAACAAAATCCAACAAAAACTGGTATTAAGCCTGTACAATCCATATATAAAAAGGGTTGGTTTATTGTAGTTCAAATACATAAACTGAACAATCCCAACATTTCAAAATTAAACTTTAGAAACACAAGTTTAACATTCAAAACAGGAGTATAGTTTACAAGAATTGCCCAGAGGGGAAATCCACAGTCTAATCCAGAAGTATGTAAAGATCACTTTATTGTAAATAAAAGTGTGTTTATACAACCGTCCCGTTCTGTGCCGTAACCACTGTTATTTACCAAGTGTTTCCAACTTCGAGTAAAAATTATTAGAGAAATCTTCACTTGGGCAGAGCAACCTGATTTTGCTTCTAATTCATGGGTAGGGTAAGGAACAAAGCAGACCTGTGAACAAATTTTATTTGGTCTCAGTCCTAATTCTCCTCTCAGTTCTAACTCTGGCTTTAATCGATTTAGTTCCACTTAAAAGGGTGAAAGCAAGCAGAGAATTGGGACTTGTGTTTCCAGACCGTGGTCATCAGTAATGAATAATTTAAACTATCAGACAGCATTTCACCTCCTCAGCCAGGGACCCCGGGT